CTAGGGTTGCTACTTTGCCCTATTCCTCTTAAGCTAGTTAATGTCTCCGAGGTGGGCCAATTAAGAGGCCAGTCTTCCTGTTTAATGATAGTCACATCAGCTCCCGTGTCTATCAACCCTGCAAAAGGTTTGCCATCTAGCCATGAGGTCGAGGTAGGTTTTGTTTTGTTTTTTTCTTTTAAAAAAATCATTTTATTTGGGGCTCATACAACTGTTATCCCAATCCATACACACATCAATTGTGTAAAACGCATTTGTTCATCGTTTCTCAAAACATTTTCTCTCCATTTAAACCCCCGACATTAGGTCCTCATTTTTCCCCTCCCTCCCCGCTCCCCCCTCCCGCATGAGCCCTTGATAGTTTATAAATGGGTATTTTGTCATATCTTGCCCTGTCCGACATCTCCCTTCATCCACTTTTTGATTGTCGAGGTAGGTTTTTGATGAGTAATTTCTTGTGCCCAATATACATTAGAGGATCCAGAGCTCCCTATTCCTCTGTCAGGGTGTTGGTTCTTATGATCAGTTTTAACAAACGGCAATAGAACCAGCTGCTTTATTCTTTCTCCCTGAGGTATAGTAATGATGCCATCAACAGCTTTGGCCATGATTTTAATTTCCCCACTGTAATCATTATCGATCACCCACGGATAAATCTGTAATCCTTTCATAACGAAACTGCCTCTCCCGAGTATCAACCCAAAAGTTTCAGGGGGTAGGGGGCCGTTCACTCCAGTACTTAAAACTTGTGCTCCCATTTCAGGGGTTAATACTGTGTGGGAGGTGGAACAGAGGTCCAGTCCTGCGCTCCCCGGGGTTGCTCTACTGAGTGTCGAAATGGATTGTTGCTGCTGGCTGGAATAAAGCTGACCACCCCATAAGCTTGTTTTGGGGCCTGGGGCTGGCCCCGCGATCTGTTTCCCGACTGCGGAGGAAGAAGATTGCCCAGTTGATCGGTTTTTGATCTACACTCTCCTGCCCAATGCCTTCCCTCTTGGCAACGGGGGTGGGGGGGGTGGGGGGGGGCAAAGCCCAGGGATGGGAGCGACACCCACTTCCCTTGGTGGCCCGGGGTGATGACTGCGAACCGGGCACTCTCTGGCGAAATGGCCGTTTCTGCCACAATTAAAGCACCCCCTTTTTGATCTGTCACGGTCGGCCAGAAAGTCTTTAACAGTCTGACCGCTAAAGGCGGCGGCTGGTAGGCAGGCTGTACGTCTGCACACAGGCAGATGTACCCTCGCAAATCAGTTTTGCCCTTCTGCGGGCGAATGGCGGCCAGACAGGCAGGGTCGGCGTTTTCGAAAGCCAACTGTTTAATAAATTCCGAGTTAGCCTCGGCATTTCCAAACAGCCTTTCGGCAGCGGTCATAAGTCTATTGATGAATTCCGGAAAGGGTTCATCAGTTTTTTGTTTAATGCAGGTAAGCGTAACATTAGCATCCCCCTTTGTAGGAATTTTTTTCCAGGCTTTAAGAGCAGCAGTCTGTATCTGAGCAAACAATCCCGGGGTATAATCTTTCTGCACTTCTGTGGTGGCAAAATCCCCCTCTCCCAACAACGTATCTTGGGTCCACAGGGTGTCCGTGCCAACATTCCCTGTAGCCATTTCTTTGCAAAAAAAGGAAAACTCGGACCTGCACAGCAAATAATCCCCTCCTGAAAGGACAGATCGAGCCAAGGTGTTCCAGTCTCCTGTCGTAAGCCATTTCTCACACAAGGCTTCCACCAGGCTCCTAGTAAAAGGAGTGTTGGGCCCGTAGGTGGAGACAGCCTTTTTGAGTTCTTTTAAAAGCATAAATTTAAAACGTTCATGGCGTCTGATAGGATCCTCGCCCCCGCTAGTTTCCTCATCATCATTCTTAATTTCGACCACCGGGAAAGCCAAGTGACAGGACTGCTGAAAAGGAGATAGGCCTGTACTCTTTCTTATGGGGGCTAGATGCTTTTTGAAATTCAAGTTAACCGGAGGTAATGGGGCAGAGGGCTGGGGAGGAAGAGGTGGGTTGTGGGGTGGAGAAGCATATGGGGGAGGCCTAGAGGACGAAGGTAGCCTGTCGGGATCATGGTATTTGGTGGCCTCCTCTTCTAAATCATCCCAATCAGCCTAAGAAGGGTCCAGGAGGATCGTCAATGGCGAAATCGCCTTGTTCAAATAGAGGTGGCAGTGGGGTATTGGTAGATGAAGGCTTTGGCAAAACTAGGGGCTGTGAAGGTGTATCTACTGGCCCCGCAAAGGATTCTTCCGGGGCGACCACACACTCCTCATGGAGAGAAAGGAGATCAGGGTTCAAAGGAGGTTTAGAACACACGGAAGGGGGTCTACTTGTTCCTTTCAAATTTTCTACTGTCTGAGAGACCGCAGCCTTTACCTTAAGGTTATCGTCTTGATTGTCAATTAAATCTCTGATTAAGTTCCAGTAAGTGAAGGCAGTAGCGCGCTCCCTACTCTCTTCCACCGACAAATATCAATAGTGCCTTCTAAGGGGAACCAAGGACACAAACCTCTTATAAAATCAAAAAATTTAAATAAATTTTTTCTTTTCACTTTTACTCCCCGAGTTCTTACTACTTCTGTTAACTGCTGTACATATTCCTCGTGTAAACTTAATTCCTGTCCCGTTGTTAAGTACCCTACCCTCTCACCTTTGTAGGCTTCCGATCGTCAGCTGACTTCCTCAGGTACTTGTCCTCACTGAGTCCCTCGTGTCCACGGCCACGTTGGGCACCAGATGTCCCGTCCAGCGGGAGCAGCAACGTGGGTCCTGGATAGAGGGAGCGGGACGCGAAGAATGGGGGCGAGACAGCAGGCTGAGCGGTCTTTGTTCTCTGTTCTCTTCGTGCTCTCTTTTTCCACAAGCCGCAGCTTCTAAAGGCAAAAAGGAAGGAGGTGCCCGCGGGACATGCAAATCAGGCTACTACTGATAACGCCCAATCAGAAGGCTACAAAAGCGCGCCTAGTGCCAGCGGTCAACAGTATCCGATCAGGTCCTCGGGAATGACATTACCTTATGCTAATTAGGGCTTTTCTGTAAGGCAGCAAAGGGAAACGGAAAGTCTCCATCCAGGCCTGAGGCTGAGAATAAAGCCTGTTTATGAGATCTTGGCTGTTGGGGACCATGGTCCCCGACATTAAAATGATCAACTACTGAAGATCAAAAGGGCAATGTTTACCCAAGGACAGAGGTCAGAGGGTCAGGAAAGGAGGAGGAATGGGAAGAAGAAACGTGGAGGAAATGGAGTAAGGGATGTCATATTGAGAGGGTTACAGTGGATGAGTTGAATCAATGTGTATGAATTGTTGAATATAAAACTACGATCTAGGTTAAACTTTCATCTAATTAAAATAAGCTGAAGAAAAGTGATTTTATTTAGAACCCAGCATGGTGGTGTAGTAGTTGCCCATTGGACTGCTAATTGCAGGATCAGCTATTCAAAACCACCAGCTGTTCCATGTGAGAAAGATGGGGCTTTCTACTCCAGTTAAAGAGTTACAGTCTTGGGAACTCAAAGGAGCAGTTCACCCTATCCTATTACAGGGTCGCTCTGAGTTCACATCAACTCGATGGCAGTGAGTTTGTTGGACTTTTTTTACACTTATGTGTGATCTAACAACATAAGCAAACTGTGTGTCCAAATAGGATTGTAGCCATAGGTTTAGGACTTAAATTTCCAACACATCTTGGGGAGGGGACATACATACATAATAGTTTGTGTGTTCATCCTTGTATCACAACTGATACTTGCTAAGCAAGGACATGTTCCACATTTGGAGTGTAGAATCCCTGTTCCCTTGCCAGAGAGTAATCAATGCTGTGTAAACAAGGAACAGTCAAAGAGTGAGATGAAGGGGGTATCTGGCATTCATATGGATGGTCAGAGAAGGCCTCTCCAGTGACTGGTATTTGAGCAGAGACCATAAGAGAATGTGAAGATCATTGGGCAAAAGATTTCAGGAAGAGGAGGTAGCACTGACTAGGGTATTTGGCAGTAGCAAGAGGGGACATGGCAAGAGTAGTTAGGAGGGGCCCGAGTCACACAATCCTTGGGAGGATTTAGAAGTGCTTTGAGCAGTGACAGTGGTGTGGCCTGATGTCTAGGGGCAGGAGGGGAAGTGGGGAGGCTGGGCAAGTTACTTAGTGGCCTGGCAAATGAAAATGGCAGCAAGGCCTGGAGTAGCTCGGTTTGAATGAGACAGAGCCCTCCACATTCTTTGAGTGTAGTGTTCAGGGTAATGGGTTTTGGCTTTCCTTCTGGTAAAGAAGAGGTTCCAAAGTCACTTTCTGACTTGTACCTTTTATCTCTTTCTTAAAACAGGCATGCCAACACAAAGATTGTTACTAGTGCAAGACTACACTGAGAATTTGAGAATTATATGTTGAGGTAATAAAAAACCTATCATAGGACATAGCCACAATCTCAAACAGAACCTAAAGGTTCACATGAGTCCCCACTGTACGTGGACAACACGACACTCCCATGCATCTTAGCCCCTTGCTACAGGACTGGTTTTGCTCCTCTACACCTGCGTGCTGTCAACTGTATGACTGAGACTGGAACTCTGGCAGTGGGTACTGATGAAGGAACAAAAGCTGCATGAGGTTACAGTTTGCCATAAGGAAAAGGAAGAAAGAGTAGAACATGTGACGATGTTAAGAGGCACATGTTTCCTTGTGGTGATAGAAGAAATCAGCCAAGGGGCACATGGATTGGGTATATTCTGAGGTTTTGACAGTAGGACTTGCTGGTGTTCAAGCTGTGGGTGTGTGAAGGGAAGTTGTTGGGCTCCTGAGACTTTGACTTGAGCCAGAAGGATAATTACATATGCATGTCCTGAAGCAGGGAATCCTGGGAGGGAAGGTCAAGGTCCACCAAGAGTCCTCTTACTATGCTACCATGTGACCTAATCATGTGACAGTAAGGCAGCTCTGCAGACTTGTCTTCTGTGGTTTTCATGCCACAGCTACTCCTCCAAAGTGACTCTATGTTTACTCTTCTAGATTGTGACATTGGTACTGAGGACAAGTTTCTTCAGAAGGAAGATGCTTCTGACAGTTTAGAATTTGAGGCAGAAGTGATAGAAGACAATGTCAGTGATGCATCCCAGGCACCACCTGAGCTCAGAGAACTCTCGGATGGTGTACTGGAAGAATGGAGCATCCCTGAAAGTAAGAGACAAAAAAAGAACTTCACACCTGGGACAGTGCTCTTCAAGAAGACTCCTACAGAAGAAGATCTAGACTTTAGCAGTTTGGGGAAATACTTCAGATTGAACCCAAACCTGGTAGCTTGTCAGGGAATTTCTGCAGGAAAAAGGACATGTTCATATGGCACATGTGGTCAGAGCTTCCACCATAACATGGACCTTACAAGTCATGAAGAGGGCCACACAGCTCACAGCCCTTTCATATGCAGGGAGTGTGGAAAAGCCTTCAGAAGCAGCCCTGGTCTTACTCAACATCAGTCCTTTGTGTGTAATGAATGTGTAAAAGCTTTTAGCTATAACCCAGTTCTTAAAAACCACCAGGGAGCTCACATGAGTGAGAAACACTACCAGTGCAGTGAATGTGGGAAAGCCTTCAGTGTGCACTCCAACTTTATCAGGCATCAGATCAACCACAGTGGAGAGAAGCCTTATGCATGCAATGCATGTGGGAAAGCCTTCAACCAGAACTCAAGTTTTAAAAAGCATCAAAAGTCTCACATGAGTCAGAAACCATATGAGTGCAATGACTGTGGCAAGGCTTTTAGGCGGAGCTCGAATCTCATCCAACATCAAAGAATCCATTCTGGAGAGAAACCGTATGTGTGTAATGAATGTGGGAAGGCCTTCAGGCGGAGCTCAAACCTCATTAAACACCACAGAATTCACACAGGTGAAAAGCCTTTTGCGTGTAATGAATGTGGCAAAGTGTTTAGCCAGAGTACACACCTGAGGAAACATCAAAGGGTTCACACTGGAGAAAAACCCTATGAGTGTAATGACTGTGGCAAACCGTTTAGTCGGGTGTCAAACCTCATTAAGCATCACAGGGTTCACACTGGAGAAAAGCCTTATAAATGCAGTGACTGTGGGAAGGAATTTAGTCAAAGCTCAAGCCTTGTTCAACATCAGAGACTCCACACTGGAGAGAAGCCTCATGTGTGTACTGTGTGCGGAAAAGCCTTTAGTTACAGCTCAGTGCTCAGAAAACACCAGATCATCCACACAGGAAAGAAGCCATATGAATGTGGTGTCTGTGGGAAGGCCTTTAGCCAGAGCTCAGCCCTTATTCAGCATCAAGGTGTCCACACAGGTGACAAACCCTATGACTGCCGGGAATGTGGGAAGACTTTTGGTCGTAGCTCCAACCTTATTCTTCACCAGCGAGTTCACACTGGAGAGAAACCTTATGAATGTACTCAGTGTGGGAAAGCCTTCAGCCAAAGCTCAACCCTTATTCAGCATCAGAGAATTCATAACGGATTAAAGCCTCATGAGTGTAATCAGTGTGGCAAAACCTTCAACAGAAGCTCAAACCTCATTCACCACCAGAAAGTTCACACTGGAGAGAAACCATACACATGCGTGGAATGTGGTAAGGGCTTCAGTCAGAGCTCACACCTTATCCAGCATCAGATCATCCACACTGGTGAGAGACCCTATAAATGCAGTGAATGTGGGAAATCTTTTAGTCAGCGTTCAGTCCTCATCCAGCACCTGAGGATTCACACTGGAGTGAAGCCCTACAGCTGTACCACATGTGGGAAAGCCTTCAGCCAGCGGTCAAAGCTGATTAAGCATCAGCTGATTCACCAGAAGTAGTAGTTTATTACACTGGTGGGAATGAAATCTCAGTGTGGCGTTACCTCTAGCTCCTCTATAGTTGTGACTACAACAATGGGATCAAGCTTAGGAAAAATTGTGAGGATGGCGTAAGACCAGACAGTATTTTGTTCTTTGTGCATAAGGTCCGTGTGGATTAGAAGCGACTCGATGGCACCTAACAACAACAACCTCTCTAATCATTGTCTTTCCAGACATGAAACCCAGAGTTCCTGCCCAGTCCCTTTCCAACCCACTCTCAAACCCAGAAGCTTCCCTTGAATTTTTTGTTTCAGTCCCACACCCTTCCCAGTGTTTTGTACCTCTTGAACAGTTTGTGAGCAGCTTGCCACATTTCTTGAGGGAAGACTGAAGTATTTTTGAATTTTTTATTATTGTCAAATCATACCAAATCTACATTTGCCTCAAGAGAACCATAGTAACTTTTCTCTTTGGTAATTAGTGGTGAACAGTAACTCTTTGTCAATGCCTGTAACTGATACCCTGGTTATATAAAATCAAGTTCAGAGTTTGGGGTTCCTGGTTGTTGTCATCCTGCCCCAAAGCTGGCACATGTTAATCATCATCAAGTTTCACAGCCTATTCTTTTCTCTCCGTTTCCAGAATGTGGGCCTAAGATTACTCATGAGCCCCCTTTTGCTGTATGCAGTCCAAAATGTGCTTTCTTATCTTCCCCAGTTGGTTGTAACTCTGAGACTCCAGTTATACTTTTGGCCCTGCCTGTGATCCTGCAACTCCAGTTATACTTTTGGCCCTGCCTGTGATCCTGCAAAATCTCTCCACACACACCTTTCTCCCGACAAGCTTTCAGGCCATGTCTTCCAGATTCATTCATCAGCAAGCTTTTATGGAAGGTCATGCCCTTTTGGAATGCCCTTTGCCTCCTAGCTCATTCCTCTATTTCCTTTTACTTTCCTCTTGTCCCACTATCATGCTCAGCCTTCGTTTGAGCTTCAGTAATTTCTCTCCGTTACATTGCCCTTGTTCAATCCTTACCAGGCGTCTTACACCCTCCTAGCCACTGATTTTGGATCACTTGTTCTCCTGTCCCTGGGATGGTCAACACCACCTCCTTTCCTCCACCTCCCCCTCTCCCATGGCCCCCCGGAACCATCAGTCCCATTGTTTTCTCCTCCAGACTGTTCATCCAGCCTCTCTTATCTAGATAGATCTGCAGAGATAATAATATGCACAAAACCACTGATTTTGGATCACTTGTTCTCTTGTCCCTGGGTTGGTCAACACCACCTCCTTTCCTCCACCTCCCCCTCTCCCATGGCCCCCCGGAACCATCAGTCCCATTGTTTTCCCCTCCAGACTGTCCATCCAGTCTATCTAATCTAGATAGACCTGCAGAGATAATATGCACACAAAAAACAAGACATAGTAAAACAAAGCGACCAAAGAAAACAAAAACAATGACCAAAAAAATAATTTTAAAAGTTAAAATAATTTTTTTAAAAAACCTGTAAATAGTTCAAGGTCTGTTTGTTGACCTCTAGGAGTATCCTCCAGTGGAGTCCAATGGGGTACCACACCCTGGCTCTAGTGTCTGTCTTTGGCACTCCCTCAGGACCTCCCTGCTCTGTTCTCCCCCCTCGTGTTTTGCCTCAGTGTGGTGGGGCCTGACCAGACCAATCCCGACATTGTGTCGATTTTGATGTTATTTTGTCAAAATGTTAGACTACAAATTTTCACAGATGGGTGTTTAGTGCTTATATAGAGGACAGTTCAATATTGTGAACATAAAAATTCTTCCTAAATTATCTATGCATTAAATACAATCCCCAGTGAAATTCTACTAGGGCATTTTGGGGAGCTAGTCTGTAAAAGTTGCATGATGGAGGCATCTGACCTAACTTCAGGCGGCAGAGCAGAGTCACCAATATCAGCAAGGTGGATTCCTATAATGGGAAGATGAGACATACCTTCATCCTCCAACTTTTTCACTAATAGTGATTCTAGCTGTCCCTCTCACAACATTCTGTCTCTGCTGGATTTAATAATTCATTGGAATAGCCAGAATAGCTTCAGCCATACCCACGGCAGACCTCTCCATGAATCTTGGGATTCTTGGTCCCCTCAGCCCAACTTATACCCTGCTAGGGCAAGTGTTACAAACCTTTTCAGTTCTGCCAATAAGTGCCCTGGGATACCCCATTCCACCAGTAAGCCTTGGATCAAAGATTCTCAGATCTTGTTCCATGGGTCATTGAGTTTATCTCCACTGGAAGGTACCCATGCACACACACATGCCCCCTTAGCAGCAAGCCTGCCTGAAGGTACTCTGCTTTCTCACTGTGGATCAGCACATCTGCTGCAATCAACTTGCTCCATGGCTTGGGAAACCACTGCACCACCATCTCACCAATTGACTGATGCTGCTACCACTTGTTTCTCTAACACCACTGCTCACCATCCTATAGTACCTTCAGGGTGGCAAGGATCCCAGCCCAGAGGTAATGCTTCCTTCTTAGGTCTTTCTTGGTGGTAGTTTGGTCCCCCTGTTCTGGGATGACTCATTTAAGCTTAGCAAGATGCAAAACTGACCAATCCTTTGTAAAAGTCCATACACCTTACATGAATGGTCTCATCTCTTCCAGAGTGCCATGTACCTTATTTACATTATTAACAAATTGTCTAGTTCCCTTGTTAGACCTCAAGCACATTATAGATAAATCTTACCCAATCATTTAGTGGAAACTGGTGAGAAAGGTCATATAAATGTGAGCTGTTGTACCATACAGTCCAAGTTATTTCAGAGTTTATCTGGGAGCACGTGATGAATCTAGCCAGGTATCTCAAAAGTGTTTAGTGACAAAATAGCTGCCCTCTGGTGGACTGAGTTTCTAGAGAAATAAAACCAGTGACACACAAATCTGTGTAAGAAAGAACTTTATATCAAGGAAGTGGCCTAGCCCCGTCCAACTCTAGTCCATGGATCAGATGCAGCTGATCCCAGAAGCTAGACACAGGATCCAAGCAACGGAAGAGGAAAGGGGCAAGAGAGAGACAAGTTCTCCGCATCTTATAAATAGATGACACCTAAGGAAATGTCATTAGGCTGTGTCTGGATGGGAGGTTGGACTCCACCCATACCTTTACACAGGTACCACAAGTTGAAACAAAACGCTAACCATCACCCGCCACCCAGACTAGCATAAATGATGTGACTTCATTGGAGGACTGCATGCATATCCATTTCACAATATCAAGGACAGGGAGTGGAGGCACTAACAGCAACTGTTCCTCTTCTTGTCCACTTTTATTCTTTTATTGTCAGGCTTGGGAAAGAAATCTCAATGTATCTCAATTAACACTCCTCTCTCCCTCCAGTCTCTACATCAGAACTGGATTCCAAGCTAAGGCCACCAAAAATTGTCCCCTGGCCTAAGTTACCTTACCATACCCTCCTATCCTCCACAGACAGCCTAGTTCTGAAAGTGCCCATGGATGAGATCATTTCCCAAAAAATTCATTTTTCTTGTCATAAAAACTAACCATTGTCCAGTAGACAGCTGAGAAGCTTCAGGAGTGTGGGGTTATTTCAGAGGGAAAATATTGATTGGAGGAAGTAAGACCAAAGATAGGTGCTGCTTAGGAAATACATATCTCTGGGTTCATCTATCTGGAAATCTTGAACTCAATTCATGAATTCTTTCCAAGAGTGGATATTTGGGAAAGGGAAGGGATTCTGACACCTGACAGGCAAAAGGAATAATAGTTGTCCATTGTGGGAAGGTTATGGTGTAGCTACATTGTTGGAAAGGAATGGGAATGTTTCTATCATCCTTAATCACCACTCACACACACACACAACCTGACCATGGATGTTCCTATTCATGACACTATGGAACATTGGTGTGAAGGACTGGATGCTTGCTTTGAACACAAAGACTGCTTGCAGATAGGTGGCAAACCTGACGGCAGATGCTCTTGTCCCCAGTGGTCCATGCCATATCAGGACCCATAAGCCTCATATACTTGGTAGCATCTTGGGAGATCTTCAGGAACTCCCACAGCTCACGTAACTTGAATGGGTCCTACACCTGGAATCAAATTGCAGGAAGAAACTGACATGCACACACACACAGAGGAAGCAGGCATATCTGCAGGTAAGTAGAAGTGTTCCTGGCAGTCCTGCAACCCCCTGTATACCAAAGCACCAAGCTCTACTATATGGCTCCAGAACTGGAGGGAGAACCGGGCCCTGACTTGCTGAAGACAGTCTGAGACACGTTAGGTGTCCCGGTGGCGGTAGCCAAGTCTCAGCTAGACCCCTCACCTGTGGCTTGGTAAGAGCCAGTCACATACTTGTCCCTGACCTTGGCTGCAGGTAGACAGGATGGTAGGTGTTGGGGAGAGCAGCCTTTCTCCTAGATGCCCCATGTGGTGTGTTCTATGTTCAGAGGTATCTGTACCCACAGACTAGGCTCCAAGTCTTTCCCAAATGAGACCACTCAAAAATGGGAATGTGGTATAAGAAAAAAGTGACAAATCAGGGGGAGAAGAATAATCTTAATTCATAGAGAACCAAGGAGTTCAGGTGGCACTATGGGTTAGGCATTAGATTGCTAGCCACAAAGTCAGTGGCTCAAATTGCCATTGAGGGGGAGAGGAGAGAGAGGAAGTAAGCTGCTCTTGCAAAGATTTACAAGGCCAGGGTCACTGTAAGAACCAACCACAAAACATTTAGAAAAAAGACAAAATTATATTCTTCACACCATATAGCAGAATTCCAATGGATCAAAAATGTAAAGAAAAATACAATGACTACATGAAATTATGAATTCTTCTAAAACCTTTCCTATGATTCAAAATCAAGAATAATGAAAAATATTGATTTTTGCTACATTGAATTAAACTTTTGTACAGCCAAAAGCACCATAAAGTCAAAAGGCAAATTGGTAAGCTGAGGGGAATGTTTGTAATTTATATGCCTGATAATACATGTCAAATATTCTAAAATTGTGCTTATTAAAGTTTCCATCTGCAACAAATGGTGTTAGAACTGTTAACAGTCATATCTTTAAAAGAACCATAATACGGCTGTTTTTCCTCCAGTCTCGGTGCCGTTCCTCCCGCTGTTCACAGAAGTACAGCTCAAGCCGATGGAGATAGCCCAGAGAACGGAGTGCTGGCCCGTTTGGGGTTCGCTGACTTGCCTGCCCGCTGCTGCTGTTCTTCCCTAGCATGGCTCAGCATGAGAATTTCAGGGAAAAACACATTGAAGAACTGAAGGGACAGGAAGTTAGTCCCAAAGTGTCCTTCATGAAGCAAACCATCGGACTCGTGTGGCACCATCAGACTCATTTCCGCGCGGTGGCCTGTAAGCAGGATAAGCTGGCCTTCGAGAATGGGTCTGTCCTGCAGCAGTTTCTTTCTGAGATGGAGAAGATGTCCCCAGAAGACAGAGCAAAGTGCTTTGAAAAGAACGAGACCATACAGGCGTCCCACGATGCCGTGGCGTGGAACGTCAGTGCCAAGTAGATGACAAGGTGAACTTCCATT